TCATGATCAATTCTTTGTATACAGAAAAAGAGAATATTCCATCATCATCTTCTATTTCATTTCTTGTCCATACTTTTCCATTTTGGGCGAAGTTGATGGAAATCTCAAATTTTTCTGTATCATGTTCGTCTTCTGGACGAATCTCTTTCTCTGGTTCTTCAAAAACCAGTTTGTTTATGTCTTCAGGACATATTTCTTTACTAGGTTCTTCTTGAACCTTTTCTCCCAAATTCTTTTTCTTTCGGGGATTTTTATCTTTAGAGCCCATCGGCCTCCCCCTCTTTAATTGGACTTTGGGTGCATTTGCTATGCTTCCATCATTTTGTTCCTTAGAACATCTATCTTTGATGGAACGTTTGCAGCGGGTATATATGATTTCGTCACTCTTTTTGTATCTGTGAACGAATTGATTTGCCATATTTTGTAAATGTATAATTTTCTGAACTTCCAATTCGCGTTGTTTTGTCGGGGGATCAAAGTGTACAAATTCGGTGTACACCATGTGAGGTCTTTTGGAACCTCTTTAATTCCTCCCCCTAACGCTGGAAATTCATCTTCATTAAAATGGCAATCGGCAAAACGTGCCGTAAACATATCACCAGTTTGAGGTTCAAGATACCGAATAATACTCGGTGACGTATACCCAACGTATATTCCCAATCTCCTTTGTGGCCCCATTTTTGTTCTTTGTGGCGGTGCTATCGGAACATAAACCGCACAACCAAAAACACGGAGATGGGATACGTTTGGCTCCTGACCAGATGCTAATTGTAATGGGGAATATATATTATAAGCACTTGGTCGTATTTGGAGCAACGCTGCAGCATGCAAAATAGCATGACCCCATATTGAAATTGGGAGTTTTGTTCTCATTATTAACGGTCTTGCAATCAGTTGCAACCGTTTAATCAAAGACTCAGCCATGCCATTTTGTGTATGGACATGTGGAACCGGATGCTCAACATCGATTCCCAATGACATGCAATAGTCATTAAAGGCTGTGAAGTGAATTCACCAGCGTTATCTAATCTCACTTTCTTAATAGTATAATCAGGGAACTGTGCTCTCAACCTGATTATTTGGGCAATGAATCTTGCGAAAGCCGTATTTCGTGTTGTCAAAAGACACACATGTGACCATCTACTTGATGCGTCAATTAATACCATAAAGTATTGAAACGGTCCGCATGGTGGGTGAATAGGCCCACATATATCACCGTGTATTCTCTCTAAGAACACAGGGGATTCATTCCCAACTTTCGCTGGTGATGGCCGAGTTATGAGTTTTCCTTGAGAACATGCATTACATATGAACTCGCCCGTTTCTAAAATTTTCCCGTATTTCAACGGATGGCCATTTGAGTTTTGCACAATTTTTCTCATCATGACTGAACCTGGATGCCCTAGCCTTTCATGCCAGATTTTGAATGTACTAGTAAACTTCGGGTTTACTGTAACATATGATTCAGTCAGAGTAATATTTGTGCAATATAATCCGGAGGACATCATTTTCAATTCTTCCAATATTTGTCCCTCCGATTTGATGCAAAGGATTTCAATGCCATTCTTATTTATAGTCTCTATGTGATATCCATTTTTACGGATATCTTGAAACTTAATAAGTTTCTGTAAGACTTCGGGGAATATAATGCATCATTTATTTCAAACTTTGTTCCCCTTGGCATTGAAAAATTGGCTCTTCCAGAGCCCAATATTATTTTTGCACCACCAGAAATGGTATTCACGCTTTCAACGGAATCTTTAATTTTGAGACCGGAGAAATATCTTTTATCTTTGAGTATTGTGTGCGTTGTAGCACTGTCTGCAAGACACATATCTCCATCACGAGTCTCAAATTTCGTCATTTCTGGATTTAACAAAGATGCATTAATAAGTATTAAACAATACAAAGCTTATATCACAAGATACAAAATACCACATTAAAAACTATTTTACAACAAAAAGATCAAACTTTTAGGTTATCTTCTTCAGGAAGATAACTATGTATATCATGTCCTTTTAGTCGTCTGTTTTTCCGTTGATCTCTTCAGAGTCAACCAGAAAATCTGAAACATCAAGATGAGTATCATCGTTTAGGCCGTGAAAGGAAGGACCGGGTTCATTGGAGATGAAGTTAGTCTCACTTTCTTTCTCCTTTGCTTTTTGTGATTCCCGGTATAGATCGGCTAAGTGTCTGGGTGTACGACAAGTACGCTCCCAGTGATTTTTCATGCCGCATCTGTAGCAAACACTTTCTTTTTGCTTTTTAGAATCTCGGCCGTAATCATTTGCTCGAGATCTTTTATAATTCCTTTCATTGTTGGACTCGTCGGGACGGTACTCTTTTCCTTGTCCCCGACCACGTCCACGGCCACGGCCACGACCTCGGTTTCGACCGTATCCACGTCCACGTCCTCGTCCATTATTTTGGCTGGACGATGCTACATTCGCTTCTGGGAATGGAGCAGCTCCAGTGGGACGAGTCTGATGGTTCATCATCACAAGCTCGTTATTCTGTTCTGCAACAAGGAGAACTTCCATTCAATTTTGAATAACGAGTATAGCCATTTGCCCGATATTGTTGTTGCAGGACTATATTTCCAGGGTGAAATGTGGAGAGCGTTTTTTCAATCATATCATAATCGCTCACATTTTCTCCACATAGCACCATTTGGAAATTATTCTGAACATAGCAGAATTATATTCAACAACACTTTTATAGTCCTGAAATCGGAGGTGTAGCCACTGGTATTTGGCTTTGGGCAAATCTATATATTTTTGATGGTCAAATCTTTCTTTCAAAGATTGCCAAAGATCCGCAGGATCTTCTTTAGTGATGTATTCATCTTTTAAACCATCGTGGATGTGATGAAGTAAAAGATCATGGCTTTCGCCTTTTTCTCATCGGATGTTTCTTTCGACTTGTCAATGGCATCAAGAAGCCCATTTCCTTTTAGATGCATTTTTGCACCTATTGCCCATGTCATATAATTGTTTCCAGAAATATCAAGGGCGGAAATTTCGAGCTTTAGCCAAATTTGACATGATATCTGCATAGATCATATACCAGTTCATTAATTAAATTCAAATTCAAATTTGCGTAATAAAAATTTGAGCATTATAACAGCATAAATTTAGTAAAAATAAGGTGCTGAATTTAAATTGCAAGAAATAAATAGCAGGAATTTAAATGGCAAAAAGTAAATAGCGAAAAAGTAAATTACAGAAAAGTAAATATTCAGGAGGAGGCAAAGTCTCAACTCCAAGAGGAGGTTTTTACCATCAACTCTTATATGATCTAAGGTGACATAGTCTACCATATGATCATTTGCTCGGAGTAGGTACAACCTAGCATCCCGGCATATCATATAAACAATAAAATTAATAGACAGAATATAAGAGCAGTTCGTGCTGATAACGTGATATAAATAAACTAAATGTACCACTATATATTATGTATAGTGGATTGATTATTATAAAAGAAGAAGAAGATGTAGAGAGAGAGAGAGAGTTACGTAAGGGAGAGAGAGACTTCGTATGTTAAGAAGAGAGAGTGATGGTGTACGTGAGGTGAAGAGAGGAGAGGAGAAGTATAGAGTAAATTTTCTGTATTGAACTTAAGTAATTATTACATATGTTTAGCTCTATTTATAGAGGAAGATGAGGAAGTGGGTAAGTCGGCTAAGGAGGAAGCGGTTAAAGGGAAAATGTTAAACAATTGACATGGGATAATTATCCCTTCGTAACAATATCCTTTTATTTTTGGGAAATTGTAATGTATAGCATTGGATAATACATTAATTAAGTGACCAAAAAGCTGTTGTTCTGACATTAACTAGTCATTAATAAAAATCTATTTTACCCTTGTACTTTCAATCTAATTACAGTATTCTTTCTCTCTCATCACACAATACTCCGGCGAAAGAAAATAAAAGCCGATGGTAACTCTGACAACAGATGATAACAATATTGTTAGCAACGGTAATTCTAGTGTCGGTTATGTTATTATCAAAATAACTTATAAAGTTAACTTATAATGACAGTATTAGTACTGTTATCATGTTAATTTCTAATTTTGATTGGTAAATATATGTTTATGTTAGACGTTAACATGAGTATTATAGGTATATTTATATTAGTTAACATGATAATCGAATAGTTATCATGGTACTATAATAGTTACCATGGTAACTAGATAGTTATCTCGATATCATATTAGTTAACATGGTAATCGAATAGTTATCTCGATATCATATTAGTTAGCATGATAATTAAATAGTTATCTTGAGTTTTCAGGCCATAAACAGTATAATCAGTTTGTATTTGATGAACAGTGTTTCCGATATATAACATCAGAAAACAGGTTTTAGATCAATGGCATTATATGTAAATAAATTAAAATTAAATGATATTTTGGGTGTAAACAATAAATCATCTCTTCTCAAAAACTAATTATCTATTAATTTCTCCAAATTTTTAATTGTCAGATTATTGGAAGATATTGGCTAAATTCACCCTTTATTTTTTGTCAAAACAAACAAAATTATATAAAACGACCGTTATTCAAATTTAGTCGAATTATGGCAAAAAGATAAATAAACAGAAGGAATCGTTGCGCCATGACTCTCTCTGTACAAGAAAAGAAAAGAACAAAATAAATTTATGGTTCGTGTTTATCCATTCAACAGAAAATTTATCGTCTCGATGTATACAACGATTACGCAACAGAAACTAAGAATGTACACTTGGCACTTTCCTATTCGACCATCTGAAAATACTTGGCGTCTAATCTTGAGATTCATCACACGTCTCCGTAACTAACATTCAATTCGTCAACAAACTTACATTTCTTCCGCCATAGCCATTTTCCTCTGATTCTCTCTCTCTCTAGATCCTCGGGATAATATTCTCGGAAAATCCGCCGGGAAACTGCAAGTTTAGTTCCGAATTTCGAATTGTGGTGATATCTGCCGAGGAAACTCCCACATTGAGTAGCTAAACATGGGGACGGAGATCCCTAGATCGGAGGAGATATCGGAGGCATTGTTATCGGAATCTGGGAAGACAGCGACGGTTTTAGATCAAGATGAGCATATTCCTGAGTGGAAGGAGCAGATAACGATCCGAGGATTGGCCGTGAGCGCCTTGCTTGGGACTTTGTTCTGCATCATTACTCACAAACTTAATCTGACGGTTGGAATCATCCCGTCGCTGAACGTCGCCGCAGGTTTGCTCGGCTTCTTCTTCGTCAAATCGTGGACCGGTTTCCTGTCGAAGCTCGGGTTCACCGTCAAGCCGTTCACCAAGCAAGAGAACACCGTTATCCAGACTTGCGTCGTCGCCTGCTACGGCCTCGCCTTTAGCGGTAACATTTTATTTCTATTTCTGCGTTTTCAATTTCGTCAAATTTTTAGTAAGAATGAGTTCGCCTATCAATTGGATTCTCAGTTTTTCGAGTCTATGGATGATAGTCTAATTGATTGAATTGGTTCCACAGGTTGAATTTGTTGAAGGAGTCTGTAGCTATTTTTGAGAAATGATTGATCGTGATTATGCTCTCTGATATAGTTATTTGATTTCAGGAGGATTTGGATCATATTTGATTGCTATGGATGAGAAGACATATAAGCTCATTGGTGCTGACTATCCGGGAAACCATGCGAAAGATGTTATAAATCCAGGGATTTGGTGGATGATTGGGTTTCTGTTCGTAGTCAGCTTCTTGGGGCTATTCAGTCTCGTTCCACTACGCAAGGTAATATCTCAATCTATAGCATAGATACTATATTTGCTACGAGACAATGTAAAGCTTCTTTACTCATAACTTTATCTATCAGGTGATGGTATTGGACTACAAACTTACCTATCCCAGTGGGACGGCTACAGCAATGCTGATTAACAGCTTCCACACCAATAGTGGAGCTGAGCTTGCAGGGTAATTTGTCAGAGTCATTCGATGTCGCTTTCTTGCAAACTAAATCTTGCATTTGCTGAGCTTGTGTTTGCTATATTGTTCACTATAGGAACCAGGTCAAATGTCTTGGAAAATACCTGAGCCTTAGCTTAGTTTGGAGTTGTTTCAAGTGGTTCTTCAGTGGTGTTGGAGATGCATGTGGATTTGATAACTTCCCCACCCTTGGTTTGACGCTATTCAAGAACACGTAAGTTCGCATTAACTATCTTGTTACAGCTCTAAAGTCTAAGGTTATTACATCAGTAATGATCTGTGAGAAATGGCTAGAAAATGGGTTTTTAAGGTAAGTTTGTGTAGTTTTTAACGAGGCCCAACTTTCTGCACCTCAGGTTTTACTTCGACTTCAGTCCTACTTATGTTGGATGCGGTCTTATATGCCCCCATATAGTGAACTGCTCTGTTCTTCTTGGTGCGATCATCTCTTGGGGGTTTCTGTGGCCATTTGTATCACAGCACGCTGGGGATTGGTATCCAGCCGACCTCGGGTCCAACGATTTCAAAGGTCTCTACGGATATAAGGTACAGTATTAGCAGCGAAATTCAAAAAAAATTTAGAGAAACATATTTTCATGTCAAAAGGGAGGAAAACAGAGAAGTTTCAAGTACTGATGCTTTTATGTTATTTGGTTCCTGACTTTTAAGGTCTTTATCGCCATTGCCATTATCCTTGGTGACGGTCTCTACAATCTTGTCAAGATCATCGCTGTCACTGTGAAGGAATTATGCAGCAATAGCTCTAGACAACACAATCTACCCATTTTTACAGACGTTGTAGGTGAGAGAGCATATTAGAATCCTAACTCATCTCTTACATACTTTTGTATTCTGTCATGGACATTGGCCACTTTCCAAAGACTAGAAACCTCTGAAACTGTATGTTCTCCAATTCTTTAATTCAGATAACAGCGAAGCCTCTGAGATACTGCTGGTGAAGAAGAAAAGAGATGAAGTATTTCTGAAGGACCGTATACCCCTTGGATTTGCGGTTTCTGGTTATGTGGGTCTTGCAGCTATCTCAACCGCCACAATCCCGCTTATATTCCCACCTTTGAAATGGTACTTTGTCCTATGCTCCTACTTTCTCGCCCCTGCTCTTGCCTTTTGCAACTCTTACGGAACCGGGCTGACGGACTGGAGTCTAGCATCAACCTACGGAAAGATCGGTCTTTTCATAATCGCTTCCGTAGTGGGAAGTGATGGTGGTGTCATTGCTGGTTTAGCTGCCTGTGGTGTTATGATGTCAATCGTCTCTACCGCAGCTGATCTCATGCAAGACTTCAAAACAGGTTACCTCACTTTATCATCAGCAAAATCCATGTTTGTGAGTCAGCTAGTGGGTACAGCAATGGGCTGTATAATCGCTCCGCTCACGTTCTGGCTGTTCTGGACTGCTTTCGACATCGGTGATCCCAACGGTCCGTACAAAGCACCTTACGCTGTGATCTTCCGTGAGATGGCGATTCTCGGTATCGAGGGTTTCGCGGAACTGCCTAAGCATTGCTTGGCTCTTTGTTATGGGTTTTTCGTTGCGGCTTTGATTGTGAATCTCTTGAAAGACATTACACCGCCTAAGGTCTCTCAGTTTATCCCGATCCCGATGGCGATGGCTGTCCCGTTCTACATTGGAGCTTATTTCGCCATTGACATGTTTGTTGGGACTGTGATACTGTTCGTGTGGGAACGGATCAACAGGAAAGATGCAGACGACTTTGCCGGTGCGGTAGCATCAGGGCTGATCTGTGGAGACGGGATCTGGACAATTCCGTCAGCAATCCTTTCGATCTTAAGGGTCAATCCTCCCATTTGTATGTACTTTGGACCGTCCTCGGCAAGGTAAAGATGCCACAATGGTCATTACCGCTACACGAGTCGTAGTCTCATGGAAGCAATCGTCTTCATATGTTGTGTAGATATGTTTGGAGATCTCAATTCGCAGGAAGAAAATGTTGTTGCAGATCTCTTTTAAATGTTTAGTCAATGTTGTTGTCTGTGCAATGGGATGTTTGTCTCTTTGAATGCTTTCATTCACAGGCTCAAAGAGAGTTTTAGACCGTTTGCCTTTGTTCAATTAATCATCATAAGGAGTGTATATTGAAATGATACGATTCGAAACAAAATCAAAAATCTTTGATACGAGCTACAGTATATTAGTGATATCAAAATCTATAATTGGTAGTTTGATAGCACCGTAATTCTAAAGTTAACCAAAACAACAAAAAGGGTGCGAAGGATCCAGATTGCCAAGCTGAAAAATACAACTTTCTTATCCTGTAAACTTTTTGATACCACTCTCGTAAGATAAACCCGATAATGTTATCAACAGATGTATGGTAGTTGTTGTGAAATTCTGGTTTGAATATTTAAGTAGTTTCGATCAAACATTTAATTTTGTTTGCTCAACAAGTTAACACGTGAAAAAGTTGGCATAATGACATTACTCTTTAAAAAATGTTAAGAAACAGTAAATTTGTAATGATGACACCCCAATCTGGCACGATTGGTGGAGATAATCGTGGCACAAACTGTTGAATCAAGTAATATCGGATATAAAAATCATTGAGGAAGACAATAAGAGTGAAATGAAAATAGTGGTGAGAGTTAAAGCATAAATAAAGGATAGGGACTTGTGTTGAATAAAATGGATGGAGATTTTCTTGATTGAAACTGACCGATCCACCATTCGGAGTAAATGATAAAGTATAATTATGGATTTAGGAATAGTTGACATTAATACCCATTTTCAAAAAATTGGTTTTTAGCTCTGTTCACAATCATGAGAGAAAAGAAGGAACCTACTTGAAAATCAAAGGATATGCCAGAAAAAAAAACTTAATATCTAGATATTTAGTTGCAAATAGTCTCGGATCGGAACAATCGAGAAATGAACCAAGAGCAGTAATAAAAATGAGGTATGAGATAGTCTTTAACCTCAAATGGCAAATCGATGGTTCTTGGAAAGAATGAGACTATACGTCTGATTTAGAGTAGATTTGTGTGTAGGAAAATGATAGGAGTTTATTGCTAGATGCAACATGCAAAGCTTCTCTCCACTATATTCTGAGATAGAAACCTTTTTTGTGGTCTATGAAGAAGATTATCTATTACGAGCAAGACTTTTTGTGATGGAAAAGATACTTGTTGTTACATGTTAAACTGTCAAATTGAACTCAGCAACGTGTGATGGAAGCGTCTTGATTATCAAAACTCCACACCCTATAATCTTCGAAAGAAACTATACTAGAACATCATAATATTTGAATGAACTTATTCAGCCAGAAGAAAGACAACTGCTCACTTTCACAGATACGTAGATTGGTCAATAAGGTCACTTAGCTTACTCTAAACTCAATATCTTGTTGGAAGGGAATTCACTCTAGTTTTTTATATGCTAGTTTCAGTAGTTTTTTAGATCCATTTCCATTTCCATTTCTACTGTAGAATATATATTGTTCAACGAAGTAAAAACTACAAAAATGCTTAAAGGAAAAAAAAGTAACTGAAACTGGGGAAAAAGGGTTACGTGATGGCTTATATGGGCCCTTGCGTGTCTCCTGCTTTGGGAGCATAATTCAATCCAAAAATTCACATGCACCAACTCAAATTCCATATTTACTTTACTCCACCTGTCCACCAACAATGAACTATGCCGACTATTAGTTTGTCAACTTTTTTTTTTTTTTTTTAACTTTGATTTCCATTAATTAATAATAAGGCTTTACAAAAGACAGCCTACCGGGTTAAGCTAAAGAACTCCGATCAACATGATCTGAAGCTACAACAAAAAACAAGCAAACAAGAAGTCAGAATCAGCTCTGAAAGTGAGTGAACCAGGAGGTCAGGTAAGAGGTAACGGAGGGGAGATTCCGCTGCTCCCTCGCGAGAGAATCAAGACGGAATCTAAGAGTTTGCTGAATCTCTTTGACGATAGAGGAGACTGGTCTGTGGACCGTAGAGTGCAGGCGAGCATTTCTTGGCTCCGAATTATGAACTATCTCATATCATTAGCAACCAATCAACGGAAAATCTATATGTTAAACAAACACGAAAAATGAAAGAAAAATACTCATATGAATTTATATATGAGTACTTGTTTGCGGTAAAATATTTCGCCGTTTTACTAGTGCATTCAAGATTTCAAAATCATCTAAGTTAGAAGATACTGACATACTTTTAGAAATTCTTTGTTTTAGAGAATCAGTGAATCGTAAGTCTTGAAACATAACTATATAATTTTCAAAATTAAATGTTACAGCAAAAAGATTAGGCAAGAACTCAATTGTCAGGCATGAGAGAGTATGATACCCAAACGTGATTATGGGCGGCATTAATATTAGATTCATGCCTTTAATTATAGAGAGTAGTTAACTCAATTAAGATTAATTGAACTCTAAGACTTATGAGTAGTTATGAATGATGATGATACGAGAGGTGCAAGTAAAAAAAGAGACGGTATGATATTGTCGGTCCATAAATGATGGAACTCTCAAAGTCATTCAGTCTCTTTAGATCTTGCCCTACAAGCGAATCAAACCCTGTTTGGACCTTCCAAATGTCATCATCTCATTGATCCACTTGATAGACTAGTACTTCCTTGTTTGAGAAGACGTTGAATTTGACTACTGTTGTATGTACGTAATTACAAGTAAAATGTTTTTTTTTTCTTTTTTTTTCCTGCTTATGGCAGAAGAGGCTATACATAAACCAATACTGTAACTAGTAAATGTATAATGTAGTTTTAGATTTACAAACCAAGAGGTTAAAACTACATTTATATCAAGACTCTCAAATGTTTTGAAAAATCCATTCTCATTTAAATGGTGATTTTTTAAAAACATACATTCTTATTGTTATTTGTGTTTATATATTTTTTTAAACATAATTTGAAAGTTTTGGTTCTTATTTTTACTGTATTTGTGTTTATATGTAGTACCAATTACCCTTTTAGTTTACATGTCTGATATATATAATTAAGCAATGATGTATTAGATATATGTGTCATATGCAGTACTGGTCATATATGCTAAGTACATGACTTACAAATTATATAATTTTTCATACAATCATATGTATATGATATATACTAAACGGTGATAACTGATAATCTAAAAGTAATCTGTGAATCTAATAACTTGTTTCATAAGATTATCAGCTGTAACAATATTACCTTGTTATTAATATTTACTTGTTTTCGCTTAGAAAAAAATCCTGGTCAAACAGTACCAAAGAAAAGAAACCCAACAAAAAAATGTACTTGACAAAGTCTTTGACTTTATTTAGTGGGACATGAAGTGGCATTAGTTAGATTCTCATTACCTTTGATTGATTAAAGGATTAAAGTGTAAAATGTGAAACGGTCACTGCTTTTTCTGTAGAAGTTACTTGTTAGGTTACTTTGCTGTTTATGGTCTTAAAGATTCGGCGTTTGGTGAGAAACCTACGAGACTCGGTATCTCTCTGTTACTATGTTCATGTGTAAAAAACCAACAAAAAACAAAAAGAAAAGAAAAGAAGAAGAAAAAGACAAAACTAAAGTCTCACACTTTTAAGTGTTTTCTCATTTCTTTTTTTGACCTATTTTTGAGATCGAAAGATGATAACTTTTTTCTTTATTCCTCTTCGTTCTGCATCGGGATCTTACGGGGTCTTATTGGATTTCTAAAAGAACCAAAAATTTTAATTGAAAAAATAAAGAAAACACTGTTAAATTTCTCAAAGTCGATGCCTTTTTCTTTTTCAAGTCACCACAATTCACAAACCCTTAATTTGATTCCGAGAGAGACAAAGAAAGAGAGAGAGAGAGAGAGAGATTAATTTTTGGTTAAATTAAAGTTTGGACCCTGAAGTCCCCACACAAGCTTCTCTGGTTTTGATGGATCCCAAGAACCCGAATCGACATCAAGTACCAAATTTCTTGAACCCACCACAACCACCGCGAAATCAGGGCATGGTAGGAGATGCCTCCGACGATAACAACAAGGACGAGAATCATCATCAGCAGCTCAATCATCGCAAATCAGCTGAGATTAAGGATTTCCAGATCGTGGTCGCTCCCTCCGACAAAGAAGGGAACAAGAAGCAGCAGAACCAGAGTAATCAGCTTGGTCCTAAGAGGAGCTCTAACAAAGACAGACACACTAAAGTCGAAGGTAGGGGTCGGAGAATCAGGATGCCCGCGCTCTGTGCTGCTAGGATTTTCCAATTGACTAGAGAATTGGGTCACAAATCGGACGGAGAAACAATCCAGTGGCTGCTTCAACAAGCCGAGCCGTCGATTATCGCATCCACCGGTTCAGGAACCATACCGGCCTCTGCTTTGGCTTCAGCTGCTGTCTCTAACCATCATCCTCAAGGTGGGTCTCTCACTGCTGGTTTAATGATCAGCCATGACCTAGACGGTGGTGGGTCTAGTAGTGGTAGACCAAATTGGGGAATTGGCGGCGGAGAAGGAGTAGGAGGAGCTTCTAGGTCAAATTTACCAACTGGGTTGTGGCCAAATGTAGCTGGGTTTGGAGCTGGTGTGCAAACCACAGGGGTGATGAGTGAAGGTTACAGAATTGGGTTTCCTGGGTTTGATTATCCTGGTGTTTCCAACATTGGAGCTATGAGTTTTGCATCTATTCTTGGTGCTAGTGGTGGTAATAACAATCAAATGCCTGGACTTGAGTTAGGGTTGTCTCAAGAAGGGAATGTTGGGGTTTTGAATCCACAGAATTTTACACAGATGTATCAGCAGATGGGTCAAGCTCAAGCTCAGGCTCAGGCTCAGGCTCAGGCTCAGGCTCAGGCTCAGGCTCAGGCTCAGGCTCAAGGTAGGGTTCTTCACCATACTCATCATCATAACCCTTCGCATGAAGATCATCAGCAAGAGAGTGGTGAGAAAGATGATTCTCAAGGCTCAGGGCGTTAAAGATTTGATTTTTCGCTTATGGATTTGAAAAGCTTTTGGCTTTTTGTTTTGTGATAATATTGTTGTAATTGTACAACTAGCATGGAGTTGAAGAAAGAAAAAAGGGTTAATACTGAGTGAGAGTGATAATCTATATGCTTATTGAAACCTCTGCAAAAAAATACAGGTGAGCTGATTTCAATTTGATACTTTCAGAGGATGATGATACAAGCGAGACTCGGAAGAGCTTTTTTGAGTGTTTGTGACATTTCTTTTTGGTAGTTGTTGGTTGAAACTTGCAGGTGAAGTTTGTCAATAGACAAAGCCAGATATTTGTTCGTTCCTTTTTTTTGAAGCTTTGGATTCTAATTTGATCCAGAGAGGCTTGTTTTTAATAGTTTTGTGTGTTGTTGTTGCTGCTTCTTTTGAATATCAAGAAACCGGCTTTTCGATAATAGAATGGTCACATGTACTTACCTTCCATCACATTTGTAGAATGAAGATTACAGTTTCTTACAATGATGGAACAAAACTATTATAGCTTCTTCTGCAAACTATGTTCTTCTATAGCACTTCCAAAGACCTTCCTCTTCTGCTGCATGTTCTGGTTCAGTGGCTTTGAGCTTCAATGGAGGAGCTCACTGTGATCTTAAAGTTCTGTTCTTCAACTATTACCTGCATTTCATGAATCATGTTATTACTCTCAGTATCTGTGGCATCTCTGTTTGATCGAGTTTGAGCTTGATGTGAAGTTAACCGTGGAAAAGATTTTGAATTTGATACAAATAAGCTGTTTTCAACTTCATCTAGTTTGAATCTTTGGCACACAAAACAAGAATTTTGCAGTTCCTGGATTTACGTTTATTATAAAGATTTTCCTCCAAGAATGTAAATATTGTTCAAAGAGTCAAAGCATACATCATTTGGTCTAAAGCAATAAAGAGAAAATTTTATGCTTGTACCAAAAAGAGAAAAGTGTTACTACGGCCCATGAAGAAGAGTTTCACCTGTATCCCAAAAGAAATACCGTTTCTGTATCGCGCATTTGAACTACGTGATGTTTTCTCACAGAGTAAACGACGCGCGTTGTTTTAGAGAAACGAGGAAACAGTATTGAGCTGAATTGTCGTCGAAAGATCCGATTTGTTTTTCGATCGCGACTAGTGACCGGCCCAAAGCAAAGCTGAAGAATTAAACAGAATAGTGATTCTTCGCTTCGATTCGAAGAGAAGTTTTTTTTTTTTTTTTTTTGTTGAGATCAGATAAAAAACTGAAATTTCTATAGCGAGCTTATACATCGGAGAAGATGGACAACAAAAATGTCGTCGTTTGCGACAACGGCACCGGCGTACTTTTCTTCTCCTTTTTTTTTCTTCTTTCGTTGTCAATCTAAGTATCTCGTGCTGTTGTTTCAGACTCCGATCCTTCGATTCCTCTAGCTTTTTTCAGTTGAATCTGATCAAACATTCCATTTCTTGCTCGGTTTCGTTAAAAAATCTCAACTTTTTCTCATTTTGGTTTGTTTTGGATCCAACATTGAGGAAGATTAGGATATAGTCGTCTGAAAGTTGCAAAAATTGAAAATTTTCCTGTCTTGGGAGTGTGTATTTATTGAAACCAAAGCTAATCCATAGAATTTCGAAAATGGTTGCATAACTTAGATTTATTGAACAAAGAGTCTAATGTAAAGATTTTTCTTGTGGTGGCGATTTCAGTATGTAAAATGTGGATTTGCGGGAGAGAATTTCCCAACGTCTGTGTTCCCTTGCGTTGTGGGAAGGCCGTTGCTTCGTTATGAAGAATCACTCATGGAGCAGACTGTGAAGGTTTGTATATCTGTTTGCCTTTTCTTCTTATAAGACTTGAAGAAAAAACAAAAATCAGATCTCGACTTACATAACATTTGCATAATTCGATTTCATATACCTTTTTTTATTTTTGTTTCGTTTAGGATATAGTTGTTGGGGAGACTTGTGCTGAGCTCCGGCATCAGTTGGATATAAACTATCCTGTCCACAACGGTATTGTGCAGAATTGGGAGGATATGGAACATGTTTGGGATCATGCTTTCTACAACGAATTGAAAGTAAATTCTTTTTCTTGCTTCTCCTGGAAATTTAGTTTTCAGCATTTTTTTGAACTTACTCTTAAAACCATTTATGAACAGATCACTCCATCAGAGTGTAAGATACTGCTCACGGATCCACCTCTTAATCCCGCCAAGAATCGCGAGAAAATGGTATATGATAGTGTCTCATCAAGTCTTGGTGGTGCCAATTGCTTTGATGGTTGTTGGAGGAGTAGTGACTGATTTATACGTTGTGAAACAGATTGAGACAATGTTTGAGAAGTACAATTTCGCCGGCGTTTTCATTCAAATCCAAGCCGTTTTGACTCTGTATGCTCAAGGTGCTTATGGAGATTAATTGAAGGTTTAGATTTTCTTTTGTGTGTTTACACAGTCACCTGTAAAACAATATTTTGCGTTATTCTTTTATATTATTCTTTCTGTGTTGAATTCTTGGTTTTCAGGTTTGCTAACTGGTTTGGTTATTGATTCTGGTGACGGTGTTACTCATGTGGTAAGCTACAGAACATTTCAGATTGATAATTTTCTTATGAAGAACTTAATTCACCGTCTCCGCCTCACATCTTAGGTTCCGGTTGTTGACGGTTACTCATTCCCTCATCTAACCAAAAGAATGAATGTAGCTGGTAGACACATCACAGCCTATCTCGTTGATCTTCTTTCTCGAAGAGGGTGAGAGAGAAAAATTCGATTCATGAATTCAAATGTTGAAGCTTGATTAACAGTTTGATGATATTTGACATGTTTTATATTGGCTAAATCTGAATTGTGTGTTTAACAGGTATGCGATGAATAAGAATGCTGACTTTGAGACGGTCAGGGAAATCAAAGAGAAGCTCTGCTATATAGGGCATGCAACGCATTTCCCCTAGTATCTGCGTACTGAGGCATTACAAAGAGTAGTAAATATTAACAAAAAAATTGTTTTTGTATTTGCCTTGCAGTTATGATTACAAGAGAGAGTATGAGCTTGGGCTTGAGACAACCATCCTTGTTAAGAATTATACTGTAAGTTTTTTATCGTGAGTTCCGTGTTCTAGGAAAAGTAGAGGCTAGAAATAGAAACTTGCTTGTGATTAGAATCAAAGAAATAGCATATTCATAGCGAACTTGAGTCAGTAGAGGTAGTTGAAGATTCTTGCTCATCTTTCCTTGTTCTTTTTCCGCACTTCAGTCTATGATTTGTCACGAATAGTCGATACAGATTTATACTTTGGCCATTGTAGGCTTAAAAACTAATCTATTGAGTTTTTGTACTGTGGTTCAGCTTCCAGATGGGAGGGTCATCAAAGTAGGCACAGAAAGATTTCAAGCACCTGAAGCGCTTTTTACACCGGTAAAACTTATCCAACCACTGCTATTTCTCTTTCAGAACATTTCCAGTCCTCCAAGAATCTTGTGGCTGATCAGAGAACAAAATCTTTCCCCCCCCTTTTTTTTTTGTTTTGGTTTTAGGAACTGATTGATGTTGAAGGGGATGGAATGGCAGACATGGTTTTCCGTTGCATTCAAGAAATGGATATTGATAACCGCATGATGGTATGTGGTGCCTCTCACTGTTCTCAATTCAAAAGATAGATTTGAAACTAAAAGCATACATATTTTCTCAAACCCTTTGCTTTTTCTTTCACAGCTTTATCAACACATAGTTTTAAGCGGAGGAAGCACCATGTACCCAGGATTACCTAGCCGGTTTGTTATTTTCTTATTGTTTGTCATAATCCAACAAGAAGCTCGGTGGTTTACGTTTAATGTCGTTTGTTTACTATGTGTTTCAGTCTTGAGAAAGAAATCCAGGACAGGTATCTTGATACTGTTCTAAAAGGAAACAAAGATGGCTTGAAGGTAAACAGATCCTGATAAGTTCATGATCATTGTCATTTTCTCGGTTTTTAACATTTCCTTGCGGTTTATTATTATGAATTCAGAAACTCAGATTGAGGATCGAGGATCCACCTAGAAGGAAGCACATGGTATACCTCGGAGGCGCTGTTCTTGCAGGAATCATGAAGGTAAAAACAAAGTTAAATGCTTTTCTCTCTGAAATTCTAGTCTGTGAAAGTGATTGCTAATTGAATGGTTTTATGTTGCAGGACGCACCAGAGTTCTGGATCAATAGAGAGGACTATATGGAAGAAGGAATCAATTGTCTAAATAAGATGGGACAAGCTTGAACGTTAAAATTCAAAACTGAAGGTCGTTTTAATAATCAGTCGTGCAATTTTTCGGACGTTTTAGGAGAATTGTGTAAGGATGTGGCTTGTTTTTGTAGCATTTGCCAACATTTGGGGATGTTTAAATCGAATTTGTGAAAATTGTCGCAAAAATCCAATTCGATAACAAAAATAGTAATATAGCCAAACGTCAAGAACAGATGAATGACATATGTCTGAGTAGAAGCAAGCAACAGAATGAGATAACAGTGGGAGATAGTTTGTAGTTTGAAATCTCTATTTCTTGCCACACAAGGCAAGGTCTCTCTTGAACGGTCTGAGATTCAAAGCATTGAATCCAAAGATACAGAGATTAGACCGTTTAGACTTGAACACGACTTGATCCGTCGTGGCTCTATAACCAGGAACGCTGCAAGAAGAGTGCGAGGAGTTTGTACTTCCGATCAAGCTCGCTTGACAAGAACTCGCTAGATTGTCCGAGTCAGCACAATCTAAAGAAGCGATGGCTACCTTGTAGAGACCGAACTCGTTAGTGGTTCTGTTTGCAGAGAACGTCATCGTCTCTCTTGTTGCTGACGAAGCTGATTTGAAGCTGCAGACTATTCTCACTTCCACGCCTGTTGTCACGAAAACGTTAGAAACAGAGTTATTGAAAGAGAATTTGATGAGATCTTAGTTGTGAGTTTTTTTGTTTGTTTAGTTACCGGACATGAAGTAACTGTGTTTGGAGAAAGTGTTGTTGGAGCAGACATCGCAGTAAACAAAACCCATTACAGTGGTTTCTGCATTTGGTTTGGGTGATGAATGTTTGTGAGATCGAGAGTTTACTAACAGAAGTTGCAGAAGTATAAACAGAAACATTATCAATATCTTCTTCATCTTGACCACCACAAGAATGGGACAATGTGTTTCTTCAGAAAGAAGAACGAAAGAGAAGTAGTTTTCAGACAAGAAGAGATGGGGAACAACTCCATTGAAATAGCCTCAAGGTTCCTTTTTTTATATACAAATGTGTCTCTTAGCATTAATTTTGAGGACAACGGCGAGAAAGTGATGTGAGGGCCGAGGGGGAATAAAGAGAGGCGCATTTTTGGAGTGATGATTATAAATGAGAGGATAGGAATAGAATTAAAGATCAAAAAAAGGAAGACAAAAACCAGAGAAGATAGTGGAGAGACACTAGGTGAAAGTGAAGGTTATAAATGAGAGAATTAAGTGGAAGATGGTGAAGAGACAGTGAGAAGTTAGGTGAGAGGACATTTATTGAGATCTCGTGCTCTTTGTTTCTCATTAGATTTTTGTATCTAAATCCCAGAAATTGGCTATTTGAAAGTGGAAACTGGAAAGTGTAGAGAAAGGTACTGCCACTTGTGGCTTATGCATGGACCATATACAGCACATATCATAGTGTTTGTAACTCAAGAACCTAAAATTGGTTTTCGGTTAGCAATGGACCTGTTAAAGATGTGTCGATAGAGGAAGAAAACAGGTCTTAACTCTGAAGGTGTAGTAAAATTAAACAGATTCATACTACATAATATGTTACATAGATACTAAGAATTCCTGGAAAAGATACTCGAATTCTTGGAAACAAAAAGGAAAAAGGAAAAAGGAAAAAGAAAACTCTCATCTTTATAAAGGATCCTCCAAGCAAGAGTTTTTTCATCACAATGCAAGAGACACAGCTTCAGTGGACCAGCTTCATAACGCCATTGATGAATATAGGATATGAAGCGTGAAAATGGTAATATATGTGTGTTTTATGGTCTTCTAGCAAAACTTAGGTCTTGTTCAGATTTCAGATTTGGGGATTTGCTGTTCTCACATTATGGTACATGAGCAAAAGCTTCTCTGTGGAGTTTCTACCTTTTCGACTTTTTTCTCTGCAATAGAAGAGAACAAAAACAAAACAATGACATTAAGGGTTTTGTTCATCTTTCAAGAACAAGAACTATAGAGATAAAAAAAATCAGTGTAAAGAACAAGAAGTATAGAGATAAAGACCTGGTCTTGCTTTTGTTTGAGACGGTTGCACGACAACATGCATTGTAATGACGGATTTAGGGAGATCATCAAAAGGAGCTTTACACTGTGCAACAGTTTTACCATTCTCCAAAATCTTACCAGCGTTTATCAACTTGATGTCACTAGCCGACTTTGGAACAATCTTCTTGTCTGAAACAACACATTCAAACCCCCCCAAATTACGATTATTAGGCCAGTAGATACAAATAGGAAACAAAAAGTGTGGCAAATGAAAGATTTTTCTGGTGCAGAAGAGCAAGAATATGAAATTCTGTTAACGGAATCAGAACCGTGTTCTTCCTATAGCCTCTCGGTATATGTTTTGTCAATTGATTTAGCAATACAAACAGATTTATTGAAACGACATCTTTTGATCTATCAAGCCACAAGTAAGAAACTGAGAAAATGTACTAAAAACACCAAAATGTAAAGCAATCAAGAGCACTTGTATGGAAACTGTAGTAAAGACTCAAAGCTCACCTTTTGGCCACTCAGAGACGATTCTCTCCTTAAGCATTGAGACTGTGGCGGTTGGAGAGTACTGAAACGGGCCAACATCTGAACCGTCATATAACCGGAATTTGAGTTCTACCAAATCTTCCTCTGGCATTTGATCTCTCTCTTTCTCCCAAAACAAAACTCTCGGAAGATAAGATTTCAGCAGAAAGAATCCACCGAAACGAGACCTGAAACTTATATGTGTTTTGCTTTTCCCTGTAATGAGAACAAAGAGAGATTTGAAAAATTTAGTGGATCAATAATGAATTTTCAGTTATAGTCGAAATCAAGAACTTGGACCAAAGACGATGCTCTTATCAAGGATGAGTAAGTCAGTCAGAAATCTAATAAAAAAAACTTTGGACTCATCTCACCGACCTAAGGTCCTAAATCACAAAGAGAATTAACACAGAAGTCAAAAAATTTACTCGAACTAGACATTTCATTCAATCAATTTCAAAGTCTGTTGAAACTCTCAATCGGGCAACAATATCAGCAGGAATTGAGACAGTTCACCAAGAATTCAATAAAGATAAAAGGAGGAGTAATGGCTGCTAACTAAACCTTGAAAGAGGAGGAGATTCGATCAGGCAGCCATTAACATATCAGTTCAACTTTTTTCCTGAGAGAATCGAGAGGTAGGAGAGAAACCCTTAAAAAGGTTAATGACCTAATCTCGAAGTTTTGCTCTCTCTCTCTCGAAGTTTTCTGATATTTTTCTTCGTCAGGATTGCCGCGTTACAGGGAATCCCTGACGAGTAGAAGGAGATAAAGACAAGGAAAATGTGGAAAAATATGGTTTTTTTATTAGTCAAAAAGAAAGACTTGTCGGCGATTTGACCAGACTTAAAAAACGAGGACGATGATCAAAACTTGGTCCAATCTGGCTTAACTTTTTCAACTGAACGCCAATGTTAAAATTCATCGAATCTTTCACATTTCTAGAAAGAAGAAGAAAAATGGTAACATGAATCTCACTCACACAGTACAGTTAACCTCAGAGCAAAAGAAAGGTTGGTTGTTTTGTTTTTAAGTTTACAGAAATGATGATGAAGATATGTGCAGAAGTAACGTATAAGAAAGGATACAAAGCACATTCCAAGAACGTAATAATCCTAATCAACGCCCATTAAATTAAAACTATACTTTAAACAGCACAAAAAAGTGAGAGCCTAAACCCTAGAAACAGATTCCTCCTCTACTGCCGAGTAACGGGTGTCATAGAGACCGATGAGTTAATGCCATAGAAACCATCTTGTCCCTGAAAATTCTGGTATGAATTGTCCGATGGAGCAGAGGTTGTTGGAAGTGGACCGAGCCCAGGAACCCAAGGACCTTGTTGCTGCTGCTGCTGTTGTTGTTCAGTGGTTGCTATGGTGTAGTTGAATGGTGTGTGGTTTACAGGACCGGGAGGTTGTAACGGCTGCAAGAACTGAGGTTGAAGCTGGAACGGTGGTGGTGGTGGCGGGAGCGGTTGTGGACTGGTGATGACTGTGGATGTTGTTGCGGCGTTCTGTTGGAGAAAGGGCTGGTCATGGTTTTGGAGCTTGGCCCTTTTCTCTGGTGGGTAATCGACGGATGATTGTGTTTCTGTTACAGCTGAGGAAGCGTTGTTTCCGATGATGCCTTCAGAGGCTAAGGAGGAGAGAACGTAGGAGAGCATCTCCGCTGAGGAAGTTGATGCGGTTAGCTTAGCTACCACTGCGGCGGCTGCGGTTTTTCTTGGATCTACCAATGATTGAGTTGGTGGGTTTGAAGCAAACATAACCGGTGCAGATTGTTCCACATCGCTGTGTGTGAAGCTTTGCGGTGGTGCTGCTGCAGCGGATGAAACTATGATGGCTTCTTTTGACTCTTCAACTTCTGTAGCAGGAGGATGTGAGCTACCACCATGGTCTACAAACTGTTTGCAGAGCTCACCAGCTCGGTCTGATTGAAACCTAGCAATCTGAAATTGCAGCACAATGGATAGAAATTTAACTAAGTAGCGTAAAGACAATGCAGCATTTTCTTTGGAAAAATCAAGCAAGAAGAACCCTAATCAGATTTGGGTATATAGTCCCTGAGCAAACTCACAAAACTAGCTCGAAAGCTAGACCAGTGTGTGAAAAGCGGCATTCAAATTTGCTAGTACAAGAGTTCCAACCTGAAGGTGGTTGCGGACTTGCTCCAACTTGAGCTCCTGGACAAATAAAGAAATGTGAGGTTTTTGGCAGGAGCATTCAAAGTTGATATACTTTTGTAAGCAGTTGTATAAATGGAAAGACCTGTTCTTGTAACGCCTCTCTCAAATGAGAGACGAGACTTGTTCTGGATGTCTCCAATGCCCCTAGCTGTTCAATGCAGTCTCTCAGTATGGCATGTTGTCCCTGCACCTCCTTTACCACCGCGGGGCCTGGGGTGTGTCCTGTTTAAAGCAACACTCAAGAAGTAAGATAGTGAAAACAACTTAATATGATAGATGGATGCTTGAACAAGAATCTGATTTTCTCAATCCTAAAGTAAAAAAGTGTAATATATTCACAAGCAGATAACATAAAGACAAATCACAGCAATCAGTACTGCAGTAAAAGTTTCTTTAGGATCCAAATTTAACCAAAATGTGTGGGACTGGTTATTCTTGTTGGGGTTTACGGGATTATGAAGTTTTGGAGACTCTTCCTAATAGCGAGATCAAGCTCTTTCAATATCAAATGATCTGGCTTATCAAATGGCAAGAGTCACCATGTGAAAAGGATAATATGGAAAGAAAGGGCGTGTTGTATAAAAACACTGTAAGATTCGGGTTCTAATACAACGGGTGTGTGGTAAGAAAACAGACCAAACGTGTTGAGTTCTTAGAAAAAAAGAATGTAGAAATCTGTAGCTATGTAGCCTTGGCACTTGATAAATAAAGCATATCGACACATCTGCAGCAATGTAGCAGCCAATGGACGGTGATACCTGAACTTAGATCTCTCTCAACCTCCACCGCTGCTTTCTCAAGGAAACCAGCTGCATTAGTACATTTTCCAACAGTAACATCCTCATCAGTCAGAACGCCGTTAAGAGCTTCGACAGCAGAGACTACTCTCTCCAGCGGAGTTCCATTTGCCGGTTTTTGTTGAACAGACTGCAAAAATAACAGAGAGAGTTGATCATGTTGCTAGCTTGGAAGAACTTCAAAGCAGATATGATCACATAAAAGACTTTAACTTACAAGCTTAAGTGGCACGAGGGGTCCGTTTCTGGTTCCATTCTCAGGCTGCCTACCGAGAATTTCTTCTTTGAGAACATGTCCACGGGATCCAAAAACCTTCCTCTCTTCCCATATGTTAACCTTGAAGACAAAATTACGATACTTAGCAGTGCATCAAAATCCAAAACAACGAAAACTTCAAAGCAAGTGGTAAATAAAGAATCATCTTTGACATACCAGTCGACGTGCAGATTTTCTTCCAAAGTCATCCCCATTTGCAATCACATCACGAAGAGCATCGGGGAGTACTTTCCAGAACTCTTCCACAAACTCTGAACCCCTTCGCCTGCTGTTCTGCAAGATATCATTCGCAAGGTACAAGTATGCCAAGCGCTGCTCACGTGGAGAACAGTGAAACTGCCTACCCCATGTTTCCACAACATGTTTTGCCTTGTTCATGTGAAAGATGCACCAATGCGATAAAGCTGTATATTGTCAAGGAAGAGATACACTAGACAAGTATACATGGCAAGGAATGTAACGAATCAATGATAAACTATTTTACAACAAAAGAAAGTTGGTAAAGTCCAGGAAATTATCTGCGGTTCACAATATATCAGACACCAAAAATGACAGAAACTCAAAATCGGTAAACACTTAGAGAAAATCCTGGAGGAATCAGCTTATGTTAATACACTCATCTTAAAAACTGGTTCTGTCTAGCTTTTACAAATCACTCAAGAAATCAGTGAAAGTACATAGCTTTACCACAATCATAATTAAATAGCCGAAAAACCATACAACAAAACATTATATATACCAACCAAAGGATACTCTCTATGCTTGCTTGAGAATTGTTGAGCTTGGCAAGCTTCTCAACTAATATCTGAGCATTAAATGAACTCCCCATTGTCTCAACCGGAACTTTCACCAGCTTTAAAACCAGTGCGCGCCTTCACAAGTCTAGAGAGAAACAAAGAAGAAACAAGTTAGGAACCCTAGATTCATTTACTTTAGCATAATCGAAGCAATGGCAAAAGAAAACAAGCAAAAGGTGAAAACTGAAAACTTTGAAATATTATTAGAAACATAGAACATGTTTAAGCAATTGAGAATCACAAGCAGAAAATAACGAAAAAGCTCATGAATTTTAGAGTACACATACACTAGCATCACAAGTAATCCACTAAATTTTTCAGAAAGAGTAAGCGAGAACTACACAGTAGGACAAAGACGTGCAGAGAAGGAACTAGAAAAAGTGGCTTCAGAAATCAAAACTAGTGTAAACCCTAATGTGCGAGATATAACCGGAGACGAATTTCAGCAGAAAGCAGCTACAAAAAAAAAAAAAAAAAAAAAAAAAAACAAAAGACAAGCGCGAGGATGAGTTGAAGAGAAATTACAGAGAGAAAATCAATCAGAAAGAGGAGCTGTAGATGAGGCTCGAGCTAAGGGAACATAGCAGTAAAGGGCCAAAACGATTGAAAAGGAAAATCACGGTGATTAAACGGCGCCGTTCTCTCTGATTTACGTCTCCAAAATCCGCCGGAGAAGTTGAGCAGTTGAGAAACAATCTTCGTCGTGGTCGTAGATGTGGATGACCACCACCGTGGGATTTCTTAGTCCTCTATGGGCTTTACTCTCATTATTAGGCCCAAACTCATATATTTATTGAAACGACGACGAATAGGCCTGATGGGCTATTTATCAGAACGACGCCGTATTAGCAGTGTTACTGCCACCGACACGTTATGACGTGTCGATCGAATCTAAAAACGCTGTCTGATAATGAAACTGAACACACTCCTCGAGTTTCATTCGACGGAGGAGAAAGAGAAACGATGAGGAAGAAATGAAGCGCGGTGGAATCAGAAGGAGGCGATTGTTCGGGAGGACGATTCTATGTACCTCTGTGATTTTTTTTGTCGGTTTTGGTTTGTTGTTGCTCACGCTCCGCTCTCTGGATCCTAATTCGCCCTTCATCGATGAGGACGACGACGATGCTGTTTCTGAATCAGCTTCTGATGAGGAGACTGCAATATGGAGCAATTCGTCGATCGGAGATGCTAGTGTCGACGGACGTAGGCTCTGCGCGACTGTAGAGGAGATGGGAAGCGAGTTCGATGGAGGCTTCGTGGATCAAAGCCTCAGAGTTCGAGATGTCATCCGACGCCATTTTCACGTCAATGGTCAGTTTTTTCAATTCTGTCTGAAACTCGACTTCTGATGTGTTCTTTTTTAAGCAAGATTGAAAGTGTTTTAGCTGAGTTAATGTAATGAAATCTAGAGAAACTATTGTTCGATGTGATGGAAAATGATTCTTGGGGTTTTCACAGGCGCTTCAGCGATTCGTGAGCTACCTCCGGAGCAATTTTGCCGACATGGTTTTGTACTTGGAAAGACAGCAGAAGCTGGTTTCGGGAATGAAATGTACAAGATCTTGACGTCAGCAGCATTGAGCATAATCTTGAACAGATCCTTGATCATTGGCCAGACCAGGCATATATTGGTTCTTTCTCAATCCTTTTTCTCCATTTTTCCGGGAACTAACTACATTGAACTTAGCTTCAGTCCCTGGACAGTAGCTTTTGCTTTTGCTTGTGTTAGTTTATGTTATTTGTCTGTTTATATCTTCCTCTCTGTTTTTTTTTTTTTTTGGTCTCAGGGGAAAATATCCATTTGGTGATTACATAGCTTACAACAATGCTACATTTACACTGACTGAAGTGAAGCGTCTGTGGCGACAAAACGGCTGCGTGAAGAAACACGGAAAGCGGCTTGTAATGAGATTGGACGATTTTGAGAAGCCAACCAAGACTAACGTCTTATGCAGCAATTGGAAGAAATGGGAACAGCCTATTATATGGTCAGTGATACAACTTCGAATCCCGTTTTGTGACAGTTTAATCGTTACTGAGTCGTGGATTTGGTTTCTCTCCAGGTTTCAAGGCACAACAGATGCAGTGGCAGCTCAGTTTTTCCTCAAGAACGTGCATCCAGAGATGAGAGCTGCTGCGTCTGAGCTGTTCGGAGAGCAAGGAGCCTCGTCGCCACGAGCGAATGTGTTTGGAGAGTTGATGATGAGTCTCATATCTCCCACCAAAGATGTGAAAGACGCAGTCGACTGGGCTCTACAAAAGACCGGAGAGCCTGATATTTCCTTACACATGCGAATGTTGACGAGCAAGTATGTCTGAAACTCTCGCATCTACCTCTGTTTTTTCTTTTTTTCTTTTTCCTCCGAAACTATCTTACTTCTCATGATCTCTTCTAGATCTGTTAGACCTCTGCATGCAGCGATTAACTGCCTAGAGAAAGCGATTACCAGACTTGGCATAGAGCAACCGAGAGTGGTTATAGTGTCTGACACTCCATCTGTCGTGAAAGCTTTGGAACGAAACATCAGCGCAGTGGCTGAGGTATTACTGGTCTACACAAACAAATAATTCCAGTTCCATTAATGGCGAGCTAAAGTCACTTGCAATGATGTGTTTGCAGGTTCTACATTTTAACTATAAGCTTTACCGAGGGAAAATCGCGCAACGCCGCGGGTTACCAATGCTAGATTTCAGAATCAAAGATTGGGGTCCTGCACCGAGATGGGTTGCATTTGTGGATTTCTTCCTCGCTTGCCGCGCAAAACAGGCTGTGATCTCCGGCGCTAACAGGCGAGTCGGGACTACTTATGCGCAGCTGGTTGCTGCTTTAGCCGCTGCAAACAGTCTTAGTTAAGATGGTTTCCTCACACTTCTTTTGTTGTCATTACAACACTGCTTGATTGGTTTCTGACTTTAGTAATATATATTTGACAGAGGATGGTTCGAGCAACTCGAGCTTTGCGTTCCTGAGTAGTTTCCAGAGCACTCTGTTGGCAGACGGTCTGAAGAACCAGGTGGGTTGGGGACATGTCTGGAACCGGTACGCTGGTCCGTTGAGCTGTCCTAACCAGCTAAACCAATGTGCCTTCACGCCGCTTGCACCTCCCGGTTGGTGGGACGGTTTGTGGCAATCGCCAATCCCACGGGACACTCGTAGGCTTGCGGCTTACGGTATTGAGCTTTCCGGGTTTGGTACGGTTAACGAAGACCGGTTTCACGCCTTTTGTAGCACCAAGAAAGAGTACTTAAACACTGTAACAATCATTTAGTGACCTTTTGAAAGTTGTTTTGTCCTCTTGGTTTAATCTAATCTCCTTGATCTGTTATTCCATCCTTAGAGTGAACTAGAACCTCTTAAAATTATTAAAGAACCGGACAAGAACCGAACAAATCAAATAACCGAATAGGTTCATCTATAGTGTGGCACTTGCAAGTTGCAATGAACGTAAATAACTAGTTATGTAATATATGGAAAAATAAAATTTGATCATAGTAAGAAACAAATTTGTAAAAGGGTATATTTTATAACATATATATATGCGTTAAATTCCTAATTTGATTATTGTTTCCCAAATGCCATTTGTATTTTTAATTTCTTGTCCATACAAGATTTGAACAAAATGTCTACATTTTGGTATGTTTTGAAATTGAATAACACACAACATATAAAGGTAAAGTTTTAAATTACAATTGTTTGGTATGTCCAAAATGATTTGTTTCCCTCGCTTCCAAAATGCTTTGGCTATGATTTTAAGAATCTATAGAAACTAAAAATCAAAATGTTTCGAACTTTAGAGGATTTTTATGGGATTGAATATTAGCAATGATTTTATATTTGCAATAATAGTCTGAGTTGTTACTAGACCAAGTATTCTATAATTTTAAATTTTAAATTCTCAAAAAATTTCAGATTTTTTTTTTATAAAAGTTAAGATATATTGGGTTAAAAATGATTTTTATTGATCCACAACAACAATTAAAAAAAAATCATTTATGTATAAAGTTTGAAACAAAAATTCTAGTCTTTGCTTATAAGGTACGTTTGACATACATAAGAAAATGCAAGAACAATACTTAGATTTCTATTTTTTTTTTCTTAAATATAGTTAATACAAAAGTTATTTTTTAGCCAGTGCTCTTATTATTTACGCTCATGCCAAAAGTTTCTCAAAATTATTTCTAGTTTTTTTTTGTCTTTTTTCAAATATTTCCAAATTGATTATTTCTTTCCAATTTTACATTATTATTATCTTTGTATAAGGCACGGTTGACATACATAAGAAAACGCGGGACAATACTTAGGGTTTTTTTCTAAAAAAAATATTGTCAACGGAAACAACATATTTAGCTAGTGCTTTGATTGTTTACGTTCGTCAAAAGTTTTCATATCATTTTTGAATCTTCTCAAATATTTCAAAATTTCTGATCTCTTTCCAATTTTTATAATATAATTATTTTTAAAAATTAACATCTTTACGTATAAGGTACGGTTGACATACATATAAAAAAACGCGGGACTGCTACATTTTTGCATAGGTATTTAGACCACTTTTTTATTCTCCTATATAGTTTCGACTTTTCGGCTTTCTCCTTCATCGTATACCTAATTCCAAAATTTATTATCTTTGCGAATACAACACGGTTGATAAAAAACACATATTTTTGTCCTTGGAAAAGAAAATCAGTTTAACTAATCCAATAGATATCACAATGAATGATTGTGGTGATGTGAAGGATAAACTTCCTAGAAAGAATTTACTCCAAAAAGCAATTATTAGATTTTTTTCTCCACATATTATTTTTTCCCCCTTTTCTTATCAACTTAGGAAAGGAAGCAGTTTGTGTGTAAGTGTAACGTATCATGTTTGTGCACCCATGCGTTTACGTGGCTTTCCTTTCCAGTTAAGAGTCCCATTTGTATTTACTTGTCTTATCTAATCCCCACACACTTGTAAGCCTCTCGTGTGTTTCCTTTGGACCAATTTCTCTCTTCAGGGGGTTTGCGTTTTTTTCTAAGTTACACCTAACAAATCTCTGCCCTTTCTCTCGTTATTCTGACGTAGATTTGATTGGATTATCCCCAGAAGTCGAATCTGCTACTCGTTTCCGTCTGGTTCCTCAATCAATCAAAGTTTTTGATCTTTTGTGGTGTCTGTCGCTGTTTTCTGAGAGTGACACACACGAGTGGAATTAAATATGGGGCTGCTTTGTTCGTGTTTTGGGATGAAGCCGAAAGCAAAAATGATGGAGAAGCAGAAGCAGAAGCAGAAACAGACGCTCAAAACCAAGCTTGATCAGATACCCCGACGTGACGTGGCTTCGTCGTCTTCTGGTTCGTCTCACTTCCTATGATCCTTGTTACATCATATTGTTCTTCACATATCTTTGGTTACATTTTACTGAAATCTAGTTGAAATTGAGATTAGTCAATCGATTTCTCCAAAGAGTGTCAATTAGTCTTTCTCAGAAGTCTCCCTTTTCTTGGGAATACGTAGCTTATCAAGTAATGATACATAGTTTTGGTCTATGTCATTGTATGGATAATACAAATCTCGATCTAGGGTTTTAGTTTAATAGTGCAAAGATTCTGATAACCCAATAACAAACTTGATTCAGTAAAATGTGACACTATCTTTCATTGTGTTGGTTTTGTTCCTGTGTAGCCGAACCAGCAAGAGCTGTACCAGATTCAGAGATGCAGCAACGTCCTCGGGACCGAACTCTAAGTTTCAGATACAGTGCACTCGCCGCTGCGACAAACAACTTCAGCGACTCTAATAAGATCGGATCTGGTGGATTCGGTAATGTATTTAAAGGAACGCTACAACAAACTGGACAGGTAATTAAAAAACAATACAATCTTTAGACTAATCAAATATTTGATCTCTAGCTAAACCATTTGCTTTTTTTTTTTTTTTTTTTTTTTTTGTTGGTCTAAATTCAAGGAAGTGGCTGTTAAAAAGCTTAATCCGAATGGTGGTCAAGGAGAGAGAGAGTTTCTTGTTGAATTCCTAATGCTCTCGTGCATGCGCCATGAAAACCTCGTCAACCTTATTGGTTATTGTGCTGAAGGCGATCAAAGACTCGTCGTCTATGAATATATGCCTCTTCGTTCTGTAGAAAATCGTCTTCACGGTAACAAAAAATATGAATCTACGTACACCTCATGCATCTTCAAGTAATTCAAGAGAGAGACTCATTTAAATCTTGATTTATTATTATTTTTTTTTTTGTCAGCTCGCCGAGCTGATCAAAAACCTTTAGATTGGATCACAAGGATGGAGATAGCTCTAGGAGCAGCTAAAGGGTTAGAGTATCTGCACAATGTAGCAAACCCTCCTGTGATATACAGAGATTTGAAAACTGCAAACATATTGCTTGATCGTAGCTATAAACCAAAGCTCTCTGACTTTGGACTTGCTAAGTTCGGTCCGAATGGTGATCAGTCTTATTTGACTGCTAGAGTTATGGGAACTCTCGGGTATTGTGCACCTGAGTATGCCAAGCACAAAAGATTGACGCTAAAAGCTGATATTTATAGCTTTGGAGTTGTGCTTTTGGAGCTTATTAGTGGATACAAAGCTATGGGAATCCCATGGAGGGGTAAACGAGTTGCTCTTGCGAGTTGGGTAGTGCTCTTGTCGAATCTTGTTTTGGTTAACAAAAGGATTAGTTTTTTTTTTTTTATGAATGAAAAAAAAAAGAGATTGTATTTATGATGATGACTCTTTTATTGGTTTTGACATGCACCACAGTTGTACAAGGATAACGACATAGAAATGATTGTAGATTCAGATTTACTAACAGAAGGTCGTCGCATGGAATCAACTCTGATAGATGCTCTTGAACTGGCGATTACATGTGTGGACATAGACGATAGCGCTAGGCCAACGATCAGCGAAGTAGTGAACGCTCTAGATTACATACTGGAGAAAATAAAGCGCAAGCAGAAGAAAGGAATTAGCATTGGACGTGGACGAGGACGAGGTTCAGAGAAGACAGCATCGACATCGAGGATGGTGAATGACAAAGGAAAAGCAAAAGCAAAAGCAAAAGAATATGACAGTGATAGAGAGGCAATTGTCGCTGATTCTAAGGCTTTGTTTGCGGAGAAGACAGAAGAGGGAAAAAAGCTAGCAAGTCAAAGAAATGAGCCACCACCATCGTCGAGTACTTCAAAGCCTTGAGAATGAAGAAATGTTATTCTTTGTTTTTCTTTTGTTTTATGCTTTGCGTATGTAAACTTGAAATTTTCTTTAGGTTTGACATTTTTATTAGCATTTTCTAAACCTCGGATTGTCCCTAATTTCTAGTTCTCGTTTGATTTTAGGCATTGTGTGGTTGTGATTTATCTACCGTTGAAATAAGCACAATGAATTCGGAAAATCATTCCAGAATGCTTATGATTCTGGCGGTGCAAATTGTTTCATATGAACGCGGTAAAGAACTAAGGAGTAAGGACAAACTCCAACCATGTCGTCCATTAATCAATATATGTTCTTGAGGAAACCATACATATATGCTATCTTAATTAATTGTCATCTTTTGTTTATAACAGAACCTACATTTTAAATGTACACTTATATCTTTATCATTATTTCTTCCCACTAAAATATCTTACCGTTTATATCACAACCAATGGATTCTCCACACAAAAAAGTGTGAATAATTAAGAGTTTCGTATCAAAACTCGTTTTTGTTTTTTTTGCATTGGTTTACATTTTTGTGTGTATTTTATAATGGAAATATATTGTTAAGGTCCCCCACTCGGATAATTCAGATTTCAAGGTTCAAAATATATATTGTAAATGTTTATACAGAAGGTGAGTCCATCATAACCCATATGCTAATCTTTGGTTGCCTGTCATCATTTTTCTACTTTCCACCTTTTTTCCCTCGAGATTAAAAACATAACATTTTAATTTACTTTCATAATCATTAATCACCATTCACTATTATTAGTGTTTATCATTTTTTTTTTAATATTCAAATTGAAGTAACAAAAAGGTTTCATTGCAATTGCAAACTCGATTTTGTTTTTTCTCTTGATAATAAAAAGGGCGAGTTGCACACCATTAGGCCCCACCTGACTGCGTTTTACTAGGTGACAAACCAATGACATAATGACATGTCAGATAATATACCTTGTTCCCATACGGCTGTCAAAGTAGGAAAGATAGACTAAAACGACGGTCACAGTAGCTAAGTCACAGTTTCTTTATATTTTTTTTGTTGTAATTATAAAATGAGAAAAAGAGAAGAAGAAGAAAGAAAAAAATTAGTGGGGGACGAAACCCACCATTGAAATTGGAGGAGAAGGGGCAAACCCAAAAAAAAAAAAAAAAAAACAAGCCTTCTTTTGCGCTGGCTTACTCGTGCCCTTGTCGGCTTACTTCGCCGGAATCTGAAGAATCTATTCGCCGGAGACTACCTTTTCTTCTTACCTCTTATTCTCCTTCTTCTTCTCCTTTGTGTTTCCCTTTTGCTTTTTCACTTTTGAGGAAACGGTTTTTGAAGCTCAGCTCCTGGTGACGCCGTCGAGAAAGAGATAGGGAGAGAGGGGAAATTGAGGCTGAGAGATGTATGTAGTGCCTCCGCCTGAGCGATCCGATTTGGGATCGAACGGTGATTTAAGGGTTTACCAAACTTGGAAAGGCAGCAATGTGAGTTTTGTTATGTGAACTTTTTAGTTGGCTTTTGATTTTTCCCAATCCTATAATTTCTGTTGTTCTTCAGCTAGTTGCTTGATTACTCTTCCTCTCTGTGTGTATGTGTGTGGATTAGTTGTAGCTTTTCTGTGAAGTGGTGAATTTTCCGTCAATTGACTCAGTTATCTCTGTCCCAATTTCAACCTAATTCGAATTGGAACTTTGCTTCCTGTTAAAAAAATGTTAGCCATAGGAGAATCTAGGAAGTACTTTTTTCGAGAATCCGAGATTTTGATGTCGTTGTCAAAGGTTTTCTCTTGGTGGCATAAGCTTTTGAGGTGGTGATTATCCTTTAAATGGGTTCAAGCTAAACAAGGCATTTTTAACTTTATCTTAGTATGATTACAACTGTCTAGTATTAGCTCAATCATGGATTTGAGTGACTTTGGATAAACAGGTTTTGGAAATTTGAGATTATATATAGCTGATGCCTGATGCCTATTTATAGATTTGTTTTATTGTATAACCTTCTCATTGTAGTCCCTTTTACTCCACAACATCTGCTTAAGACTCTTAAATATTCCTTTTCACATACAAATTGATTGTATACTTCTACCATTTTCGATATTGGGACTAATGGCTATTGGCTAAGACCTGTGAATCTGTGATATACTGAAAATTCATCACTTACTGATCAAATGTATTTCAAGATGATTCCTCACGTTGACATGCTTTCTCTACTGGAGTGTTATCTTTTAAGTTTCTTCCTCTAATTGATTGAACTTTTCTTCTTTTTGTTCCCCATTTTTCCAGATATTCTTGCTTCGGGGAAGATTTGTATTCGGGCCGGATGTAAGATCACTGGCGCTGACAATATGTCTCATAGCTATCCCTGTCACGATCTTCTGCATCTTTGTCGCGAGGAAGCTAATGGATGACTTCCCTGATAGCTGGGGAGTATCAATAGTAGTTGTCGCCGTCGTGTTCACCATTTATGTAAGTATAGTTTTTTTAGATGTTTTAATGTCTGGCATGTCCATAATGCTAAATGCCAATGTGTCCTTTCCTCAGGATTTGATTCTTCTGCTGCTTACATCCGGAAGAGATCCAGGAATTATCCCGAGAAATGCTCATCCTCCAGAGCCTGAACCGCTTGATGGCAACATGGACGCAGGATCTGGCCAGACTCCGCAGCTGCGACTGCCTCGCATCAAGGAAGTAGAGGTTAATGGAATCACGTTTAAGGTCAAGTACTGTGACACTTGCATGCTGTATAGGCCGCCTCGTTGTTCGCATTGCTCAATTTGCAACAACTGCGTCGAAAGGTTTGACCATCACTGCCCTTGGGTTGGCCAATGTATTGGGATGGTAAGTTCACAATCCAACTGAAAGTCTCTTTAAACCATAGTTACTAGAAAATCATCTCATATATCTGATTGTTGTTGTTGCAGAGGAACTACCGATTCTTCTTCATGTTTGTCTTCTCAACGACCCTTCTCTGTGTATACGTCTTCGCCTTCTGCTGGGTCTATATAAGGAAGATCACGGAATCAGAGCATACGACCATTTGGAAGGCAATGGTTAAAACACCTGCCTCCATTGTTCTGATATTCTACACATTCATAGCCATGTGGTTCGTTGGCGGCTTAACAGCGTTTCATCTGTATCTCATCAGCACAAACCAGGTACGTTGCCAAATCCAGTCCTCATCCTGTTTGTAGAATCATGTAATCGTTGTAACCGTTGATCTTCCTTTGTTCCTGCAGACTACATATGAGAACTTCCGATACAGATATGATCGGCGAAGCAACCCACACAACAAGGGAGTGGTAGATAACTTCAAACAAACATTTTGTTCCCCAATCCCTCCTTCAAAGAACGACTTTAGAGCTATGGTTCAGCGTGAGCCTCCGTTGCCTCCTAGATCCGTAGCAGGCGGGTTTATGAGCCCGAACATGGGTAAAGCCAACGATGACATTGAGATGGGAAGGAAAGCTGTTTGGGCAGACATGGGTCCTGCAATGTCAGAGCATGGCGACGGTAAACATGGTAACAATGAGCGGTTACATGTTAAGGATGGTGAGTTAGGCGAGCTATCTCCGGATGTAAGGACAACAGTTGATGAACAAAGTGATAGGCCGAGTATGCACCCGAGGAGATCAAGCTGGGGAAGGAAGAGTGGAAGCTGGGATATGTCACCGGAAGTTATGGCCTTAGCCGCGAGAGTAGGAGAACAAAACCAGAACGGTGGAGGAAGCAGCAGTGGAAGCGGTTTAGTGATCGAGAACCGGCCTACATAGTCTTTTGGATACACGGTTTAGCATGGAAGGAAGGAAGAAAGAACAGAGGCGAAGTTTGGTAATGGTGAATACAGGTTTAGAGGAAATCTGAGGGGTGTTTTTCGTTTTTTCAAATGTTTTTTTTTTTCTTTGTGAGGATTTGTTCAGGTTAAAATCAGTGATGTTTTATGCAAGCTTGTGGTTTGTGGTGGTGGAAAAGAGAACTTACTGATGTTCTTAATGTGGAAAGTGTTTGTGTTGGGTTTGTTTTGGTAAGCAAAGGTTGAATTGGTGTGTTGTTTGTATTTTTCTGGAATTTTTAGACAGTTGTGTTCATATATTTAACCAGAGAGATCTTTGTTTTACGTTAAAAGAAACAAAAATAAATCAATACAAAAAAAGTTTCTCTGATATCATCAAGAAGCTGAAACTGAATTATCAAGACATGTGGACCAAGACGCAGCAATTTTATAGTTGTTCATTGAACCATGTCTCTACAATTAAATGCATAAGAACCCTAATGCTCCTTCTAGATTAAATTTGTTTTGTTTTTTGTTTGATAAGACAAGGTTGCAGAAGAAGAGTGTGTTAAGGTCTCTGCTGAGTCAAAGATAAGAAAGATGTCCAAATCAATAATTAAAGCCTTGAATTATGGAAGATTAAATTAATTTCATGAAAATGGAAAATGTAAGCTTTACACACAAACATCAGATCATAAAGACAGGATCTTATAAGGAGAGTCGATAAGATTTTCGTCAGTATTTTATAAAGAGACGTATATGTATAACATGGACCATATTTCAAATGAAATGTCACTGTTATCGTTTAGTAGCCTCTGCTCCTCTTTATTAGGAACCTTACTTGTGATAGAGGCATAGAGCCACCATGTGAGCGAGCTCCAAAACCTCTGAAACTATTCTTTTCATCTTTATCTGTCTGTCCTTTAAATTCACTTTTATCTGAGACCTATGCTTTTTTTTTTCATTCAGACACTCATTACACCAAAGACCTTCCAATGGAAATTTAACAAGTGGGTTTCTTGCATTTTTGCTACTTCTCTCTCTCTTGAAAACTGTAGAGCTTTAGGTCCATCACATGATAAAGACAAGCTCTTCTGTTCATTTATAAAGAGACACCAAATCTTAAATACCAATTTAAGCAGGTGGGTTTCTTTTGTCTTCTCTTTAAACCCTTTAATAAATTTTCAGTTTAGGGAAATAAAGTTGGGGTTTGATTTGGTGTTCCTCTCCAAGGAGTTTTCTACAAATCTTACTTCTTCTCAATCTATCTGCTTTTGTCACACAGGCAAAAAGAAAGAGAGTATGTATAAGAATCAGTTGCAAGAGCTTGCACAGAGAAGCTGTTTCAGCCTACCATCATATACTTGCACAAGAGAAGGACCAGATCATGCTCCAAGATTCAAAGCTTGTGTAAATTTCAACGGTGAGATATTTGAAAGCCCCACTTATTGTTCCACTCTCAGACAAGCTGAGCATTCAGCTGCTGAAGTTGCCCTTAATGCTCTCTCTTCCAAGGGACCTTCAAAGTCTTTAACTGCTAGAGTTCTTGTAAGTCTTCCCCTCAAAACATGCAAAGCTCTTCTCAAATTTTTAATAATGTTTTTGCAAAAGACTCGTGATGTTTTTGGTACTAAGGATGAGACTGGGATCTACAAGAATCTGCTTCAAGAGACGGCACATAGAGCTGGTCTTGATCTACCGGTTTACACAAGTGTGAGATCAGGACCTGGTCACATCCCAACATTCTCTTGCACTGTGGAGCTCGCTGGAATGAGTTTTAATGGAGAACCAGCGAAGACTAAGAAGCAAGCTGAGAAGAATGCCGCCATTGCAGCTTGGTTCTCCTTGAGAAAAAGTGACCAAACACTCCAAATTCCAAAATCTTTTTAGTCCCAATCTTATTTATTACGTCTCTCATTTAAACACTTTTGCTTGCACAGTGTCAAGCTTAAACTCTCTGGGAGAGAAAAGAGGAGAAGAGAGAGAGCAAGAGGTGGTTGCAAGAGTCCTCTCAAGATTTAGACCCAAAGAAGTGAGGAGGAGAGAGACAAACCAGTCAAGAAGAAGAACAATTCGGCAAGACACAAGTCACACAACAACCACAAGAGACTTGTTGTGTGAGAAACTCAGATTGATCAATCTGTATACCAATGAAGCTTCATCATCATCGCTGAAACACCATCAAACACCACCACCACCGAGATTCTGGGCTTCAAGAACGAATCTCCAACAACAAGAAGTTAAATCATTGCTAGAGAAGTCTCGAGAATATGCAGAGAAGAAACAGAGCCTAGATGAAGCTAAGCCAGAGATGATCATAAAGTCGTTTCCTTTGCCTACTAATTCATCATCATCAGTGGAGAGAAGCTGCTGCAGTAAGCTTTTGCCGGAAATGTTTGCAGGAGGTTTTGGGTTAACACATCAGAAACTGGCTCCAGCTGTTAATATCAGATCAGTGATCCCAGTTTGTTCAGCTCCTCCACAAAGAACTAATCATAACCCTGAGAATCCATCGACATCATCACCGATCAGTGAATCCGTCACATCCCTTAATCCAAGCTCTCTGGGAATTGGAGGGCAAGAGAAGAAGTCTCTGACCGAATTGGGATTAGAATCTAAATCTCGATTAGACGGTAGAAAGCAAGTTAAAGGTGGTATCTTTAGATTAACCCATGTTAAGGATTTGACCATAGAGTAGAGAAAAGCGGTAAAAATCGTCATGGGTTTCTGTATGTTCGTCGTGTTACTTGACTTTTTTGAGTTTTTTTGAAATTTTGTTACGGCCTGACATGAAATCAATGCTCTGAAGCTCTGATTGCACGTAGAACAAAAAAAAACACAGAGAGTCAGAGAGAGAGAAAGAGAGAGCAATAAATGAAGGAGAGGGAGAAGAAGAAGATGAAAGAAAAAACAATTAATGGCATTTGTTTTTCGCCATTAATGCGCCGATTGCTCTGCTTCTCCTTCCTCTCATTCATTAATGGCTCTGTACTGTTTTTCTTCCTAACATAATTTGTTTTTTTGTCTTTTTAGAGAAAGATGTGAATATGAGTTTAAAAAAAAAAGTGTTGCTTATTACTGAAAATTGTTTTTCTTTTTCCCTCCAAAAGTCAAACTGGTACTGAAAAATAAAAAGCAAATAGATCAAAATGAGTACCCATCTTAAAAAAAAACTCGTCATTAGTTCATATTTCCTTTTTTTTTTTGGTATGAATGTTAAGAAGTTCATAGTTTCTCTAACATTATTTAGATATACTTGCAATAACATGTTTTTGATTTTTGAAACACTACATGTAATTTTCTAAAAGAAGAAAGAAAAGAAAGCACAAGGTGTAGCTATCTATAGCCTACCTCTGTAAACTCTAAAACTATGAACTATATTTAAGCAGGTCCATATGTTGGACTAACATCTTTTATGGGCGTCGGTAAACTGAAACTATAAAGCTATAATAAACCCATAAGCCCAGTGCGTGTGCGTCTCGTCGATCTCCCTTTCTCATATGACAGATGGTCCTTTCATATATCATAACCTAAAGTATTTTACGAGCTATCTCGGCTCATCTCATCTTTTTACGCATCAACTGAAAGTTATTTTAGAAAACTTTTACTTGTGAAAGTGTACTAATCATGCTGTGTTGATATGCCGTTCAAAAATGATTCTTTAACTTTCAAAAGTCTCATGTGTGTGAGTCTGTCCCATTAGGGTTTCATTAATATTGATGACATATTGTTCTGCTCAAGCTTCTTGTAAAGCAAAATACATGCTAATCTTCTATTCTTCTTCTTCTTAAAACTTATCTTGTAATGATAATGAATCAACGGTTTTTGGTATAAAAAGTTTTGTAAGAAATAACCAACTTTGCTAAAAAAGTTTTTTTTTTGTTCTCTAATTTTAGTTAAGAGATAATTCAAGGATAAGAACCTCCATGAAACTCGTGGTTCTTTTTGTTGTGTTGGGTGATAAGAAAAAAGTTTGATCTGACTTTGGTTTTCTCTAGTGTCGATGAACGTAATCTTCCTCTAGCTTCTTTTTTTTCCTGGTCAACTATTAATTTTTTTACTTGTGCTCCGGCTTTTCCGACAACATGGGTTGTGGTGTTTCCAAGCCGGAGACAGATGAAGGAGGAGGAGGAGAAGAGGGAGGATATTTTAAGATTATGACTCCGCGATCCATTGGTAAAGACAGCGAAAATGCTGACAGCCTCGTATCGGATCAAGATATGTCTACACATAGCAAAAAATCCAAAACCGGTGGTGAGAGTTCGAGTAAAGAGGAGGAAAATGTATGTAAAGATGAAGACGAGCGAAAAATTGCACCTGCATCTCCGAGTTTTCGTATTTATTGCGTGTTCCCTCGAGATCCTAATGATGACAGTTAAGTTTGTTTGTTTAGTAATATTTCTTATAGAATATAGAACTCTCTTGGTAGAAAATAAACTACGTCCGATTGATATTGATACAATTGTTACATGTGTAGACCTCGTTGATGACCCACAACGGATATCGGACGAAAGCAAGGTAAATCTATAAAACATAAAATTTGAATGTGTTTAAAACAAATATACTCGGATAAAACTTCATATGCGCATGCAATAATTTGTTAATTAATGTAACGCTTTTATGTTCTTTGTTAAGGAGCAGAGAGGGAAGAGACAAGAAGCCGTGAGGATGAAAATAAGAAGAAGGTTTAACAATGTCAAGAAGCTTCTAATCCCTTCAGCTCAACCTTCCTCCACAGCTTCTTAGAAATTTCCATTAGGAGTTTCAGTTAAAGAACCTTTGTGTAAATGCGGTTGATTTAATTGGTTTTTCGTTCTTCAATGTATATAACAAATTGAGGTTTAGTCTAAAAATCTGCGGGTTACATTCTTTTTCCTTTTCAACGGTATACAAACTTGAATTCGGGTAATAACACAAAACCATTAGGTTTACATACATGTGTTGGTCGCAAAATCATTAGGTTACATACATTCGGACTAAAAATATATATACCTTTTTTGGGTCAAAAATAAAAAGACAGTATAAGCGGACTAAATTTGATTGTTCAATCTTTTTTATTCTTAAACAGTCACGACGTAGATAAACTCAATGTCCAAAACAGAAACAAATGTGAAATACCATTGTAATACATAATTTTCATTTGAACAGAAGCTGGCAAGAACTTGTATCCCTGACCACATTTTTCAAATCCTCCTCATCTTCATGACTAATGCGTTTTGAGTAAAAAGTTGCCCTCTTTAAACGGTTTGCGTTCCCTAGAATGTATCTCGCCACTTCTTTTTCATCTGCTCGTTGCCATGTGTAGCCTTTCCACATGAATATCTCAAGATGAAACAGCAAACATTCAGGAACGTTCTTTGGCTGATTCCATTTCACACTAGCCTTACCCAGTTGCTGAGAGGAAACACAGCGTAGGTTATTATTACACCAGCAAACAAGCAAAAACAGATTTGAAAAACTTGCTGACAGATTGATGAACATTGCTTACGTTGATGAGCTTGAGGACTTGCAATTTAGGAGAAATATCGAGCATGGAGGTAAGTAGATTCCACCACGTTTCTTTATTTTCATGCAGCTCCAAAGATACCAGCTGATAGAAGAAACTCTCGGTAGGAAACTTAATCTATGCATGCATGAGGCAATATTACTTAATTAGTATTAGTACATAATCAATGTAATATAAAGACAACATTGGCCTAAATGGCCTTGTTCTTTCACAATTTTCCTCACAGCGATGTGTTTCCTTCTCTCCACAAAAACTAAAGCTGTTTTCTGCCGCAGCGATAAGTAAAAGGAAATGGCCCATAACAACAAGAAACTCAATATTTTTCAAGAAAACAACGAAACCTACCGCCAAGGGTGATATCTTCAAGGAAAGACGTGTGACTGAAGTAAGTGATCCCAAAATGTTCTCGTCGATTATTTTAGGGACAATAACAATAGTTGCTTCCTCCAAATCCGTCATCACATTCTCAATCAGAAAAAACCCTAGACCAGAAAACAATTTAATCTTCAAGTATTTCAAAGAAGGAGCATTGATCACATATCCCCAATTCTGATCTCCACCATGGCTGTTATAAATCGATAGCTTCTGTAAAGATGGCACCGCAATAGTGAAAGTATTCACAGTGTAGCTTATTGCATGTCGATGCACAGACAAAGTTCTAAGATTAGGACATCCAGATAAAAGGTTAACAACTGACTCATCGTCTTTGTAATCCACATAGTGAAGGTGTAGAGTTCTAAGGGATTTCAGACAAAGTTGAGAAGGTAAATCGATGAGAACTTTACACTTGAGTTTCAATATCTCTAGTGTTTTAAAGGTATACAAGCTTCTTGGAAAAATGAAGTCTTGCCCTATACTTTGAACTTCGAGTACCAGCTTAAGCACATGGAGTCCAAACGCAACTCCGATCAAGATTCCAGTATCCTCTGGGTTACATCTGTCTAGATGAACATTGAGATGCAAGCTCTGTAAAACCGGAGCTTTGTGTGAAAGCAAACACGTGCAGACATCCTTTGAAAACGTCCCGCGTGTAAGATTGTGATCCCGATAGTCAAACTTGAGTTCATGCATCTTCTTCCAAAGAGACTGCCATTGCTTAGATAAAACACTCGTGGCTATGGCATCTTTCATAGAAAGTAGACATAATATCTGCAGGATTAGGACCTCAGGCAACCCACTGATCCTGTCCGCATTGTTGTTTTTTTGGCTGTCAAGTAACAAAATCGAAACAACGAAAATACCACAAGTAACGTTTTTTGAGTTTTGGAGATTAAAAATTAAGAAACCCTAAGAACATAGAAAGAAACTGACCATCGTTTCATTGACGAATTATGTGCGTTACTGTTAAATCTGAATGATATACACCGTTAGGCCTGGGCATTTTACCCGGACCCGAAAGACCCGAACCGAACCCGACCCGAAAAAGATGGAACCGAACCGAACCGGAACCAAGACAAATACCCGATGGGTCCAAAAAATTTATACCCGAAAAACCGAACCCGAACCCGAACCGAACCGAGAACCGAATGGGTACCCGAAATATCCAAAATATAATTATATATCCAAAATATTAGTTATTTTTTAGACTTATAATAGCTTATAATACTAAAAATAACTAAAATTACAATTATAAATCTAATATAATAGTTATATTTAGAACAAAATAACCAAAATATTCGAAAAGTCCAAAAATATTTAGTAGAAGATGGATTATAACAAGATTTTATCGGTTATTTTGTAGGATTTTGGATATTCGGTTAAAAAAACCGATAAAAACCGACCCGAATCAGAACCGAATGAGATCCCAATAAGAACCAAAATTTGTATAAACCCGAACGGGTCCATAAAATTTAGCCCCGAACCGACCCGAACCCGACAGGAACCGAACCGAAACCGAACCGAAATTTTCCTAAACCCGAACGGGTCTAAAATTTAGCAACCCGAAAAGACCCGAACCCGAATAGAACCGACCCGAACCCGAACCGAAACCCGAACGCCCAGGCCTATACACCGTCACGAATACTTTTTTTTTTTTTTTAAAAAAAAAAAAAAAAAATCTGAATGAATGATATACACCGTCACGAATACTTAAAACGCTTCTTCGACCTCCAAACGCTGATGGTGCTCTGGTCAATTTAGGATACCGTAGAGAGCAAGGCAGAGAAGAAGGTGGAATTAGAAGACGGATGTTACGGCTTCAGAAGAAGAGGTTGCGGCTGAGGAGAAGGAAGAATTAGGAGACGGATGTTAGGGTTTCGGAGGGAGATGTTGCGGCTGATTCGGCAGGGTACGATTAACTCGGAAGCATCCTCTTTATTGTCGTGCTCATTTAACCTAATTTATTCTGGTGGACCCCATTTAACCTACTCAAAGTTCACACAAAAAGTATAATATTTTTCTAAAAAACTGAACTAAATCACTTTTATGATAGATCCATTCTCTATGCAATTGCAAGGCACGAGAAATACGAATCAGTAGAGCAGACAAAGCTGGCATAGAAACGTCTCTCACACACGATGATTACTCTTTTTTCGAATATATACTGTTAAAATCCAAACAATCTTTTAATGACTATGAATCATAGTCTATGATGAGGTTTCGGGTTAAGTAATAAAATTGAGCTCTAAGGTACCAGAAACGCAATTCATCAGCGAAGCCTAATCATGCATAAGACGACTGGAGAGACGAAGAGTACACCGACTCACCAAACAATATGTGCATATAGAGAAACAGAAAAGGATGAGTTACATCATTGATCGAATGTCACAAGAGCTTAATAAAGCTAGGGGAGGGAGTAGATTTTAATCAAACATGTCGCTTATAGCTTAAAAAAAGTGAAATAAATCCTTAAAAAACAAATTGAAGTAACAGCATAGTTAAAACTTAAGAGTGATTTGTGAAAAACAACAAAGTTTCATTCGAGCAGACACAGCTGGCAAGATGATTTCGAAGCCCTGACAACACTTTCCAACTCCTTGACTATCTTAATTCTTTCGTCCGAGTTAAGGCCTTTTACGGAAAATGTTGCTCTCTTCAAACGATTTGCATTTCTAAGGATGTATTTGGCCACCTCTTTCTCCTCTTGTTGTATTTTTATATAGCCTTTCCACACAAAAGTCTCGAGATGAAGCAACAAACATTCAGGAACGTTCTTAGGTTGACTCCATTTCACACCAACTTTTTCATTTTGAGACCAATATTGCTGAAGACCAATGAGGGAGAAACATAATAAATGTACATTTTGTTAGATCATTAAATCTAAAAACCGATTTGCAACAACTGTTGAAAGATGAACTTGCAATGCTTACAACGGTGAGCTTGAGGACTTGTAATTTAGGAGAAGCATTGAGCATGAACGTAAGTAGATTCAACCAATCCTGTGTCATTGAAGGTAGCTCCAAATATACGAGCCGATAGAAGATGGTACCAGTAGGATATGTAATCTACGTATGATCGAGAGGCAGTATTATTAATACACATTATATGGAAAAAGGCAATAATAAGTAACCGATCAACTAATTGCAAGCAAAGCGTACCGGACTGTACGATACCAAGCAAAGGCGCTTGACTGAAGTAAAGGATCGCAAAGTGTAATCATAGATTTTACTATAGGTGTTAAGATAGGCCTCCTCCAGCTCGGGTGGATTCCCAATCAGAATAGAACCAAAGGCTATCTTCCCTACAACCTCCAAGTATTTCAATGAAGGAGCCTTTATCACATAGACCACTTCACCAGTGTCCCTAATTATTAGTCTCTGCAAGGACGGGACATCAATAGTGAATGTCTTCACATCCGATTTTGGACATTGGATAACCTCCAGATTTTCGAGATGAGAACAACCAGATAAAAGGTTGACAACTGATTCGTCGTCTTTGTATCTCACCCCTTTAAGGTGTAGAGTTCTAAGAGACTTCAAACCAACCGGAAATGGGACATCTATCAGAATCTGTTGATTGAGTTCCAAGCTCTCTAGTGTTTGACTGTTATACAAGATTCTTGGAAACCTGAATAAATTTCCAGAGTAATATTTCCAAAAGGACACATGGAGTTTCAGTTCACGCACGTGAAGTCCAAACGCAACTCCCAATAATATTCCAATATCACAATCCAGACTAATTTCATCACACAAATTAATGCTGAGAGACAAGCTCTGAAGAACTGGAGCTTGTTGTGAAAGCAAACACCTGCAGACGTTATCTGAAAACTTCTCAACATCATTCCTTCGCTTGTACCTAAAGGTCTTAAACTCAAGACTCGGCATCGTCTTCCAAAGAGAGCGCCATCGTTTAGACAAAACACTAGTGGCTACCACAACTTTTGTTGGAAGGGAAGACAATATTTGCACAAGCAAAGCCTCGGGCAACTCACTGATCTTGTCCTCGTTTCTCAAACTTTGACCACTGCTTTTTTTGCTGTTAAAACAATAACCCCAAAAACTTTAATCAACAAAAGAACACAACATCATGTTTTTGGATATTATAGTCTAAGAAATCATATAACAGTTGTTAAGAACCACGAGTTGGTTTTTGAGTTTCGCAGATTAAAAGTTAAGAAACCCTAAAAACATATAAAAAAACTGACCATTGCTTCATTGAAGAATTATGTGTGTTGCTGTTAAATCCTTTTGATATACGCCCTCACGAATACTTAAAACGCCTTTTCGACCTCCAAACGCAGATGGTGCTCTGGTCAATTTCGGATGCCGTAGGGAACAAGGCAGAGAAAAAGGCAGAATTAGGAGATGGATATTAGGGATTTGGAGGAAGAGGTTACGTTGCGGCTGATAATTACTAGTATTAATTAGACGTCGGATGTTAGGGTTTAGGAGGAAGAGGTTGCGGCTGAGTAGGCAGGGTTCGAAGTAACTCGGGAGGAACGTCTTTTTTGCACATTTAACCTTTTTTTTTGGTGTGACGGCACACTTAACCTATTCAAACTCAAAAAGTAATTTTTTTTTTTTCTTATAAAAACATGAACAAAACCACTTTGAATGAGTAAGATGCGGTTTCGGGTCAGATAATAAACTTGGACAAGTCTACTACTATTACCTTGAGCTCTAAGATATCAGAAACACAAATCATCAGCGAATCCTAAACATGCATAAGAGAAAAAGAAAAGAATGATCGAGTTACATCATTGGTCGAATGTCACAACAGATTGATATCAAAGATGTCGACATACTCAATGAATTTACAATGAAATTAATATGGCAATGGTAGGGTTTTAGATGGGAATGATTCTTCAACTGAAGACACACAAAAATGAGAGTGAAGGTGATACAGTGACCAGAAAGTCTGTGTTTCATAAGGGGTTAAGTGTGAAGATGTTTTGAAAGAGGATCGATTATTACAGCGAGAAACGGATCAAAACCATTACAAAGGTGGCGTGAATCCTTCGAGCAGAAGAAGCTGGCAAGATGAATTCGAAGCCCTGACCACACTTTCCAACTCCTCAAGCAACTCAAGTCTCTTGTCCGGGGTAAGGCCTTTTATGTAAATCGTTGCTCTTAGGATGTATTTGGCCACCTCTTTCTCCTCTTTTAGTTGCTTTATGTCGCCATGCCACACAAATGTCTCGAGATTGAGCAACATCACATTCTTACGCTCATTCCAGTTATCACAGGATGTATCTTTTCCACAATACCAATGCTGAGACCAACGAGGGAGAAACACTTAGTACATTGTATATTAGATTAGATCATAAACCGGAACTAAGCTAACGTATATATACTTGCAATGCTTACACCGATGAGCTTGAGGACTTGTAATTTAGGAGAAGCATCGAGCATGAGCAGAAGTAGATTCCATGGGCCACGACATCAATGATTCTTCAACTGAAGACACACAAAAGTGAGAGTGAAGGTGATACATGACCAGAAAGTCTGTGTTTCATAAGGTGTTCATATGGGGTTAAGTGTGAAGATGTTTTGAAAGAGGATCGATTCTTACAGCGAGAAACGGATCAAGACCATTACAAAGGTGGCGTGAATCTTTCAAACAGAAGAAGCTGGCAAGAAGAGTTCGAAGCCCTGACCGCACTTTCCAACTCCTCAAGCATCTCAAGTCTCTTGTCCGGGGTAAGGTATCAGAAACGCAATTCATCAGCGAATCCTAATCATGCATAAGACGAG